AAACCCCTCACACCTGAGAGAGCTGGATCTGAGCTACAATCACCCAGGACCATCAGGAGTCCAGCTGCTCAAACACAAACTGGAGGATCTAAACTATAAACTGCAGATACTCAAGTATGTCTTGTGGCAGCTATAATTTAAGGCCAGTTCATACCAGCGATAATAACTGTAATGATAACGATATAGTTTATTATATTATAGAATATATAAATAAATATTATATATAAAAAATATTCTAAAGCCCTGTTCACACCAAAAACAATAATGATAACTGTAACTTGAACGATAGCTATATTTGCATTCACACCAGCCAACAATAATTGTCTGTTTATTCTAAGCTTGCACACTGCAGTTTCAAAGTAACAAAAGTGGATGTAGGTGACCTGCTACTGCGACTTTACTTTTCACAAATACATTAAAGGAAAACAGATGCTTTTGAGTACATGAGATATAATTCAATTTTTGCTGTTCTTGTTGCATTTACATGGCTTTAACCAGTAGATGTCCTCAAGCATAGCACATCTAAACAGGAAATCTAGCTAGTGTAATCTATTTGATCTAACAACACAAACAACAAATAAAACAATGCACAGTCTGTTTCACTACAATTTCAAAGGAGGCAAGACAATGTAGTCAAAACTAGCGCTGGATACTTGAGGTGATTTTATGTTTTATGTTACAGTTTGCTGTGTAGAGCTGCTCTGCAGTGTCGTCTGCCATTTTAAACACACAAGCCCTAAAAATTCTAATGAATTCCGATTAGCTGTCAGTGTTTTATCATTTATCAGCTGGAAAAAAAAATCGAAAAGTTATCCCAAAGATTTTGTTCGTTATCAGTCCACTGAACATTTTTTGTTGTTGTTTTGTCTCAGTTTAAAACATGGAGGGCATTTCAGGATCACACCAACACTGTGGAAATGTAAGTTCTCTCAGTCAAACACACCTGTGCATATTTACTGATATCATAGATGTTCTGATCTGTTTTTCTGTGTTCAGACGCCTGTGATCTCACACTGGATCCAAACACAGCACACACTAAACTCATCCTGTCTGAGGAGAACAGAAAAATAACATGTGTGAAAGATTATCAGCCGTATCCTGATCATCCAGAGAGATTTGAGAACTATGAGCAGGTTCTGTGTGGAGAGAGTCTGACTGGACGCTGTTACTGGGAGGTTGAATGGAGCGGCTGGGCTCACATTGCAGTGGCATATAAAGGAATCAGCAGGAAAGGTGGGAGCGACTGTCGGTTTGGACTCAATGATAAGTCATGGAGTGTTTACTGTTGTGATACAATTTATACTGCTTGGCACAATAATAAGAGGACAAACATTCCTCTCCATTCATCATCTAATAGAGTAGGAGTGTATGTGGACTGGTCTGCCGGCACTCTGTCCTTCTACAGCATCTCTGACACACACACACTCACACACTTACACACATTCAACACCACATTCACTGAACCCCTCTATGCTGGATTTAGACTTTATCCTGATTCTTCTGTGTTTCTGTCAAATTTAACAACCTCCTGTGATGAAATGCAATGATATGTGCAGAGTAGACATACATGGAATTACACAGTAAAGATGAAATAACACTAATATAAGAAAAACAGAAAAATGAGTAATGCACTTTATATAGAAATCTTTTTTCTATTATTTCTTTTGTCATTTATATAGTACTTTCTTTATTTAAACTTTATGTGTGCATTTTTTCCCCCCCCCCCCCCCTAACTAATCTGACTGAATATATCTGACTTCAGGTGGTTACAGCAGTGACAGTTAATGTTTAAGCATCAGGGCAGGAATTTTTTTTTTCTTGATTGTAACAGCTACACAGTTTAATATTGGGTTACTGGTTTTCTTAAAAAAATATTTGCTTTAATGATAAATAATGCAATATGCAGATTTCATTCAGAATATATAACATTTTGGATATACTGTATGGTTGAATGTATGTTTTTGTTTTTTGGTCAGTGGTGTTCATCATGGAGTAGAATCACTACAAAACATTATTTGATTCCTTAAACCTCATATTTTTTCCCTAATGTCTACTTCCCATGTTGAGTTCAATCTTCATTCATACTGTGTGTGTGTGTGTGTGTGTTCAGTAACCTAAAGCAGTTTAAAGTACAACTGCCCTGTGAATGTGATGCTACTCTGCGCCACTAGAGGCAGTTTGATTCTAATACTATAATGTGTAAACAACACTCACCTTAACCAGGTAACTAGAGACAAAATTAAAAGGAGGAAAAGAAGAGACAGCATTCTGAGTCTTGAACCTGTAATAATTTATCATCAAAGCTATTGTTCTGCTGAACTAAACTGCAGTTATGCCTTATTAAGTTTAACATGTACAGTGAACCTGAGCTGCAATATCTAAATAAATAAAAGTAATTAACTGTATTTGTACTTTATTTTTTTAATAATAATTAGACTGCAATGTCCAGCAGTTACAACACAACACAAGAATAAATCTGTACTGTAGTACAGTACTAAAGAACTAAGAGTTAAAGCAGTGCAGGATAATTTCTACTACACAAAACATGTTTTTAACTTTTTAACTTTGTGTTTTATTAACCAATGAAGAATCTGCCCTCTGACTTCACTGATGCAACAGTGACCTCTGACCCCAAGTAAGAGTCTAGCTATTTTTTATTATTTTATTTTTTTTGCATTTTGCATCTATCCAAAGCATGAATAAGCTGTGGTTAGAGAGGGAGAGTTTCAAAGACCTTTTTAAGACAAGTCAGATCACTCAGTGAACAATTGTGGGAATTAACTTGGACCGCTATTTTTAGTCATGCAAGCACATAGTGACCTTCTTTATCTGTAACTGATTTTTCATATTTAAAGGAAAGATTTTTATGAAGAAGAATTTAAACTCACCTACTATTGGACTTATAAGAAAAGACTTTAAAAAAAAACTGGCCGACCTAGTTTCTATGCAGCTTCATGTGCTCTATATCAGAAACATGGGTTTCTTGAAGCAATGCAATCTGAAATTTCTCTTTCTGAAAAATAGAGAAAGTTTTTGACTTTTGCCAACATGGTTAACCCCTTTTACATGAAGGCTAATTAATTTAAGATCACTCATAATCTGTCACGGGTTGTCAGGGGAAAGGAGCTCGAAGGAGTACAAAGGAGGCAGAGAGTCAGACGAACAGAGTCTTTAATACATCTCAATGGGAACGTAGGAGAAAGCAACCTCTTTACACGACGGAGACAGGACAAAGAAACTGAGGAAAGGCAGGGCTATAAATACTAAATCAAGCGATGGACTAATAGGATGATTAACGAACACAGGTGGAAACTAAAGAACTAATCAAGCAACACAGGAAAACTAGGTCAAGGCAGGGAGAACAGAAACATGACATAATCAGATTTTACCAAAAAATTGAAATAGTCTTGATAATACTGAAATCCAACAGCACAAAGAATGGTCATAATAATGAGAAAAGCACACACACAAAACAAAACCATAACCACCCCATCCCATTACCAAAAATGAATACACACATGAATCCCCCACAGCCAAGCTTAAATGCAAAAGTGTGGCGAAAGTGAGAAAAAGTAGCCACATCACAACCCCCCCGACTCCCATCACGCTACATCTTAACTAAGTGGCTATAAAATACTTTATGTGCCCTAAACCGGACACTTCAAGGGGAAAAATATAATAACATCGCTCATTCGTACAGAACAATAAAAATTCAAAAATAAAGTTTTTAAATGCACCGTAAATCACTCAGCACCAAACCAGCAGTGAAGAATCAGGAGCAAAGTCTTTAAATGAACCGTAGAAAGCATCTTTAAAGTACCTGTCTGTCCACACGTTTACCTACTGTAAAAATGGGACACCGCGCTCCTCCCCATGCATTCGCCTAAATTTTTCATACTCAAATTCAAATGTTTACCCTACACACATACAATGGAGGAAATGAAAAAAAATGGTTTCACTGTAAAGAAAACCCTTTGAACTACAAAATATGAGTGTAATTCTTTATAAATAACCTTATATATTTTTCAAATATTACAATAAACACAAAAAAACATAGGCGCTTTTGGAGTTTTAAAAAAATATATATATTTGAAATTCTGTAATTCAGGTTCTGTTAGGCTCAACTCTCTGCAATTTACTTAGTTTGATGCCACTATATGCCAAAAAGTACCAGAACAAACAAATCTTTCAAATAACAGCTTCTAAACAGGAGTAATTACATTATAAGTGAAGCGAGTCAAATTGTCTATTTCTGCATCTAAATGTGTCATGGTGAGTTTCCTTTGCAAAAACAGGCTTTATAAAACACATTAACCCCACAATCCTGTTGTACTCTGTGCCATAAGCACTTTAATTGATTATTGATTGAATTATGTTTCATTTTTATGTTTTTCTAAGTAGTAATATACAAAATGGCACAAGCGAATTAGACCAAATTTCACATATTGTTTATTCTACAATCAAGTTTAATTATTGCAGGATGCACAAGACTGTCTACAATACATTATGAAATATATCTGGTCTATCACAATCTAAAATAGAATCCATATCCTCCAGCTTTATACCATTCCATTTATGTGCATTCTGTATTGGGATACTGCTTCACAGCATCTCTCACCTCATCAGTTGACACACGCCTGTATCCTGAGCATCTCTCTGCCAATATCCTTGCATCGTCCCTGGACCAGAGCAGAGCTAATATGTCCCATATCTCCAAAACGCTGCAGTAAAATGGTTTGATATGAGGTGTGCATTTAGTATGGGACGTCCCGTATAAGAATTTACCATTCTTTTCTTCTACTTATTAGAAATGAGGTCTTTATAGCCTTCTAAAATGTAATATTATCCTTTGAAAATTATAGTAATACAGAGCAGTCAAAGACAACAATACATTACACGAATATTAAAGCAGATGGGCAAAAAAATAGCCTAAAAAATGTCGTCAGATCTCAATTCTGTGCGTCTAGGTGAAAAGTGCTCTGAAAGCCCGTTCCCTCTGTTGTTGTTCCTGCTATTACCGTAATTATAGTAATACACGCGCACCATAATTTCACTCGCGGCTGGCTTGACCGTGTTTTTCTGAGGTGCGGCTGGCTCGACCGCAGTCTAAAGAAACGAAAGTAACCGAGGAGAAAGAAGAGACGCCATTTCGAGGCTGCAAACGGCTGCGCATTTCTTGGTAAGTTCAGAACTTATTAATTTAACCATGTAGTCATATAAAATGATATGCTATTTATTGGTTCTTATATGGTATTTCAGTCCCGCATTACTGTATTTAGACAACTTTACAACTTTTTAAAACGTCGACGATTAAAACGCTTAAGTAAATTTAGATATTTGCTCAAATTTGCTAGGATATTTGTTATATATAACATTGATAAGTGCTATCGATTAAAATCTGTCGTGTATAATTAATTCATATCCTCATTTGTGTAGATGTCAACGAAATTAATGTTCGACGATAAACATATATAATAGGCTATTTCTCTACCACCAGGACACTTTTAATGCACATTGATGGCGTTTTTTGACGTACATAATAATCAGAAACTATATCCGTGAACCAAAGATTGTAGATTCTGTTGCACAAATGTGAGAAAACGAGACGTGCATTTGTATTACAACAATATTCTTTACCTGTTCTTTGACAGCTTTGCTTTTTCTTTTAACTCACTATTAACTTCAATGTACGTGATTTATTTAGCACAGTACTGTACTAAAGCAGTGCTAAATTCTGCATTTGTACTTCATCCAAATTACCACACTAGTATTACTTAAAGTACTAAATTGACAAATAGAGAAGTCATATTAAAGCCATTAAATGGAGCTGCTTTTTTCTCCTGAAACAAGCTGCGATCAACCTATGAAGAATCTGCCCTCTGCGTCCAGTAATGCAACCATGACCTCTGACCCCAGGTAAGACACTAGCTACCTGGAGATGTTGTCCGACATGAGCTCCGCACCGACTCTGCTGGGGTGCAGGCCATCAGCGCGAAACAGCCTAGGACGCTCCCAGAAAAGATTCCAGTTATTAACAAAGAGCAGTATCTATTCTTTACACCATGACAATAACCATTCATTTAAAGCAAAAAGCCTACTGAACTTTTCATGTCCTCGTCGATACGTGGGATTTTACATTTGGGTGATGATTTATTTCACAGTGTACAGTGTATTCCAGAAGCCTGCAGTCAGTGAGTGAGCTTTGCCCTGTAGTGTCATAACAGAGAGGCTCAAAACCATTTCCTTGAATCTTCCCTGTTCTTGAGTCCCATTGTAATGTTTTTAAAGAAATGTCTAAATACTGAATCATGCTAATCCACAAGCTCTCTCTATCCTAATACATATGCACACACATTTTTATTTTTATTTTTTAAATAAGTCTCTCATTCTTACCAAGACTGAATTTATAAAATACAGGCAAAACAGTAATATAGTGAAATATTCTTACAATTTAAAATAATGCTTTTTTATTTCAAATGTAATTTATTCCTGTGATGCGCAGCTGTATTTTCAGCATCATTACTCCAGTCTTCAGTGTCACATGATCTTCAGAAATCAGTATAATATGCTGATCTGCTGCTCGAGAAACATTTCTGATTATAATCAGTGTTGAACACAGTTGTGCTGCTGAATATTTGTTTGGAAACTGTAAAACTGAGAAATTAGCATTTCATTATGCAAGGACGCATTAAATTGATCAAAAGTGACAAAATATTTCTATTTCAAATAAATGCTGTTCTTTTGAACTTTCAAAGAATCAAAGAATCTTGAAAAATAAATTATGGTTTCCGCAAAAATATTAAGCAGCACAACTGTTATTGTTAATAATTGGGCATCAATAAATCAATGGCTGCTTCAGTGAGGTTATTAGAGTATTATGTGTGTGATTATCTGCATCTGTTAGAGCACAGGTGTCAAACAAGATACACCTATACTAGATATGTGGTCTGCAAGATAATTTAATTTTACTTTGACCCTCTCATTTTTACACTTTATGGCATATATCTTGCAAGTTCATTTTTGAAACATGAACGCAACCTCTCAGTTAGCGCTTCCCAACCAAAAGTCAATTATTCCTGAAAAAAAGTGTTTTTTTTTTCCTGTCGGTTGATTAAAGCGATATCTTTGACAGTATATTTTGATTATATCTTTGACATAGTAATATTTATGAAGATTTCACATGGATGTCATCAGCGATAAGCTCTATGAAATGTAATTTCAACTTAAGTGACATTCACTGATGCGTTTCTCCTGTGTTGAGCTTCATTAAATGGCACTCAAAGTTCAAATGTAATATTTTAAAGGGGTCATATGATGTTGCTAAAAAGAACATTATTTTGTGTATTTGGTGTAATGAAATGTGTTTATGCGGTTTAAGGTTCAAAAAACACATTATTTTCCACATACTGTACATTATTGTTTCTCCTCTATGCCCCGCCTTTCTGAAACGCTCGATTTTTACAAAGCTCATCGGTCTGAAAAGCGAGGTGTGCTGTGATTGGCCAGCTATCCAGTGCTTTGTGATTGGCCGAATACCTCAAGCGTGTGACGGAAATGTTACGCCCCTCACCATACTGTGATGCGTGTCCGGCCGGAGCGACGAGACAAAAACATTAAAACCCATTATAAATCAGGCATTCAGTGGGGGCGTGTTAGAACGAGCAGTTTTAGGTAGGCGTGGCTGACTCTTAACTTTTATAAAGAATATCTCTTTGGATTTGAGACTTTAGTCTTTGCAACTTTACAGATCTTCTTTTTGCACCAAGAGCTTGTAACACTCCAACGAGAAAGGAAAAATTGAAATCGCATCATATGACCCCTTTAACTAACTTATAAAGGCATTTGCTGCCACCTACTGCTGCGACAATGTAACCGGCACTGAAGTCTCTGAAAAATTCCCACCACTAACAAACAAACTGACAGCCTTTCTACAACATGCTGTTTATTTGTCTTTTGTTTTATTTGACTTTTTGGCAGTATCAACATGAGGAAGAGACACAGATCACAGTCTCCACATCCCAGCTGTGTGTCTGTGAAGAGTAGCAGATCCATGATGCTACCTGAAACTTTCAATGATGCAGTGACCTCTGACCCTCCGTTAGTATAAATATTTGCTTGTTAATTTACTGTAAAGCAACTTTCTTGAATAACATTATTTAAGACATGATTTTAAGAATTAACACTAAATATAATCCAATAATATGTAATATGCATTGCACAGGGGCATCAAAATCATATCTAGAAACATATCTATTTCTGACGGTATCCATTTCTTAACAGTCATTGAACGCACTGTGATTATATTTTCTGACAGAACATCTTTGACCTGCACTGCATCCAGTGAGGCTGGAGACCTGCAGAAACCAGTGGATGATGTTCTTCAGAGAGTCAAAAATCAACACAAAACCATCATGAAGAACAAGTACGGGCAATGTGATGTTCTATGAGGAGGACCTGATTGAGAGCAGCATAGACGTCACTGATGCCTCAGTGTATTCTGGGATTTGCACTGAGATCTTTAAGGAGGAGTTTGTGCTTCATCAGAGGAAAGTCTACAGCTTCATTCATCTGAGCGTTCAGGAGTTTCTCGCTGCTTTCCATGTGTTTTACTTTCATGTAACTTTAATTATGGAGGGGCTGAGGAATTTTGCTTCAGTACAAATTTTGCTTAAAGGTGCAGTAGATGAAGCCCTTGAGAGTGAGAATGGACATCTGGATCTGTTCCTGCGGTTCCTGCTGGGCGTCTCACTGGAGTCCAATCAGAGACTCTTACAGGATCTACTGACACATACAGAGAACAGCTCAGAGAGCATCAGGAGAACCACACAGTACATTAAAGAGAAGATCAGAGATGGACATGGACTCTCCACTGAAAGATCCATCAATCTGTTCCTCTGTCTGCTGGAAGTGAAAGATCAGACTCTGTCCAGAGAGATTCAGGAGTTTGTGAAATCAGACAAACACTCAGAGAAGAAACTCTCTGCTGCTCACTGCTCAACAATCGCCTACATGCTTCAGATGTCAGAGGAGCCGCTGGATGAGCTGGACCTCAAGAAATACAACACATCAGATGAGGGGAGAAGACGACTGATACCAGCTGTGATCAACTGCAGAAAAGCTCTGTGAGCGTTTAATCATCTCTTTACTACTTTTTAAACTGACTTACATTTATGTTGTTTTTGTGCTTCATCTTGATTTTATTTTACTAATTTTATTTTATAAATAAAATAATTATTGTATTTTTTTTACAAGAATGAAGCTGATATTATTGAAATGCCAGTTAAATACCAATGTGTAAAAGTTAAAAACTGGATTCACATATGTTTTGCTCTCTTTCAGTTTTTCTGGATGTAATCTCACTGCTCAGGATTGTGAAACTGTGTCATCAGCTCTTCAATCCTCAAACTCTGTCCTGAGAGAGCTGGATCTGAGTAACAATGACCTGCAGGATTCAGGAGTGAAGCTGCTCTCTGATGGATTGAGGAGTCCAAACTGTCAGCTGGATATACTGAGGTCTGGGTTCCATTTGATTATTAAATAGTTTGTGTTCCATACGTTAAAATGCCCTGCTGTTTACTGTCTTGTGTGTCTGTAGGTTGTCAGGCTGTATGGTGACAGAGGAAGGCTGTGGTTATTTGTCTTCAGCTCTGAGTTCAAACCCCTCACACCTGAGAGAGCTGGATCTGAGCTACAATCACCCAGGACCATCAGGAGTCCAGCTACTCAACCACAAACTGGAGGATCCAAACTATAAACTGGAGAAACTCAAGTATGTGGGAAAATTTTGACTCCTATGTATGTGGGATGAAACGGGGATTACCTAAGAGGGGTGTAATGATGTGGTCACTGTGCTTTTGCCAAGTAAGATATGTTCCTGGATCAACATATTTAGCTTTTTGGTTAATAACGTAGTCTTAATCCAAACCCTACCCTTAAACCTAGACCTAATCATTACGTATAACTAAAATCAGAGGGAAATGATAGGTGCATAACACTGATGTAGAAACTCATAACCCAGGTTGTAAGCCTAACTCGACATAAACTGTGAACTTGTCCCTCACATCTTATTTGTTGATTGGAATGTTGTTCCAGGAGGGGTGTCCCCCTCAGTAGCAGCACTCTGCAGGCACTTCCGCATTCCAGGAGTGCACCGCGACCTTGAACCTGGGTCAAATTAGTGATATTGCGTGAACTTAAATTGTTGTTTATGGAACCGCTTTAGATTTAGATTGATTTGTTTATTTACTTCAAGTCAGGTTTTGGACTGAAATCCCCACTTTTCTTAGTGCACTTTATGAAACAGGCCTCTAGAGGAGACATGCAGATGGTAAATCCATTTCTTTGTGGGTTGGTTCTTCTGTCATGTATTGTGTAGTAGCAGTGGACGATGAAGACGGAGGAGATAACAATAACAGTCTTCATTATACTTTACAAATACTAGAATAGTCCCAGGGCCAGTGTTGACACCATACATTAAACTAAGATACAAACAAACTGAATATAAACCTGACAGAGTAAAATTTGGTAATAACTTTGATACTCAAGGTATAAAGTAGCCAGAAATTCAACTCAATTCAATTCAAGTTTATTTGTATAGTGATACAAATCATATTTCATGATACAAATCGTTGCAAAGCAACTTTACAGCAAATTAAGTTTCTACAACATTTAGTGGTAGCTTATCAGTGGTGACTGTCAGTTAATGTACATATATAATGTATTTATAATGTACATACAGAAATGTACGGAAAAATCAATTAAAGACGTAATCAAACAGACGGTAAACACTATTAACAGCAATTATTATATGATGCAATCAAACTTACAGCAAAATTTGGTAGAAAGATACTTAAGTAACTAATTATATTTACTTGAATACTTTACGACACTGATTATTTATTTATCTGACTGAATGCTTCAGTACCTAAATTCTCCCTTGAGAAAAACTAATGCTCTGCAAATTGTTTACATTTTTAAGAAAACAATCCAATGAGCATTACTTGTTTTGTTTTTTTTGTCTATTCAGTTTGGGTCATGGTGGACATTTCAGGATCACACCAGGACTGAGAAAATGTAAGTCCACAAGCAGACACACAAGCACCCAAACTCCCACATATACACATCTTTGCATATTTAATTATGTTGTAGGTCAGCTGTTCTCAACTCTGGCCCTTGAGATCCACTTAACTGCAGAGTTTAGCTCCAAGCCTAAGTAAACACACTTGAGCAAGCTCATTAAGGTATTCAGGATTACAAGAAAGTTGGAGAGTTTAATCAGGGTTAGAAGTAAACTCTGCAGGAGCAGAGAACCACTGTAATAGATTACGTGTTCTCTCTTCTTGTGTGCAGATGCTTGTGATCTCTCACTGGATCCAAACACAGCAAACACTCATCTCATCCTGTCTGAGGAGAACAGAAAGGCAACATGTTTAAAAGAGCCACAGCTATATCCTGACCATCCAGAGAGATTTGAGAACTATGAGCAGGTTCTGTGTGGAGAGAGTCTGACTGGACGCTGTTACTGGGAGGTTGAATGGAGCGGCTGGGCTCACATTGCAGTGGCATATAAAAGAATCAATAGGAAAGGTGGGATTGACTGTCGGTTTGGACTCAATGACAAGTCCTGGAATCTTTACTGTTGTGATACGATTTACTCTTCCTGGCATGATAATAAGGCTAACAGCACCAAGATTCCTCCCTCTTCATCTATATCTAATAGAGTAGGTGTCTATCTGAACTGGGCGGCTGGTACTCTTTCCTTCTACAGTGTCTCTGACACACACACACTCACACACTTACACACATTCAACACCACATTCACTGAACCCCTCTATGCTGGATTTGGTTTTTACAATGATTCCACAGTGTCTCTACGTCAGACTTAACAACCTCCTTTGAGGAACCACAGAGACATCACAGCTCTCGCTGGATCCGCTCCTCTGCTATCAACGAGAGGAACATCTGTTCTTCCGTAATAACAGACAACAAAACTTTTTGGTTGTTAAAAAAAGGTGTGCTCGTTCAAAACAGTTGAGTCCGATCCTTCGCTGGCTGTGCTGATTTAAATCTAGCGGTTCTGTTGTGTTTGTGTCGCAAGTTCAGTGACGCAGGTAGTGACGATTCTCTCCGGCCAATCCGTGATCAGCAGAGTTTACACGTCACGTTTTGGTAACGGTACGGTTCACTTGGAACCGCAACCGAGGTGGTTCTAAAAAAAGTACCAGGTACTGTACCTAGTGGAAAACCCCCCAAAAGTGAACCGTACCGAGCCGTACCGTGCCGTACCATGCAGTGGAAAAGTGCCATTAGGTTCGTACACATACACACTGTACTGGTGTGGCAATATCCAAAGTTTAAACATGTTTTAATGCTCCTGTCCAGTATATGTATATTTTGGAATCAGTGTAATTTGAAAAATGTTAATGTAACGCTAATTTCTTTGAAAAGTCTTGTTCTGATTTGGGCTACTATGGAATTATATGCTAACACTTGAAGAGTGTTCAAGTGTTCAAGTTCAAACATGCTAACACAAGTTTCATATTTTCATTATTTTCTTGCAGTAGTTGTGTTTATTTATTTATTTTTTTACTGTGCTTTATGTGATCAGACATAATTTTTTATATGACTGAAAGTAACTTTTAAGGGTCAGTTACACTCTTAAAAATAAAGGTGCTTCACGATGCCATAAAATAACCTTTTTGTCTAAATGGTTCCATGAAGAACCTTTAACACCTGAAGAACCTTTCTGTTTCACAAAAGGTTCTTTGTGGCGAAAGAAGGTTATTCAGATTATAAAAAGTTAAGAAAGAGATGGTTCTTTAAAGAACCTTTGACTGAATGGTTTTTTTTGGAACCTTTTGAAGCACCTTTATTTTTAAGAGTGTAGAACTGCATCCTTAATGTAACAGCTACATAGTGTAATACTGGGTTATTGGTTCTGCTGATGAATTAGCATAAAATGCTTAAAATTATAGACTTTAAAGTTCCTTGAAGTTAAAACCAAGGAAAATATTACTAAAGAATGGCAGCAAACATGGAATACAGATAAAAAGGGACGTCATTTATATAAAAATGGTAGGTACTAAAAAGTATAAGTGGTAGAAATAGGAAAGAAGAGGTCATAATTACTATGATGAGACTTGGACACTCAGGATTAAACACATCGCTGTTCATAACTGGAGTACATGAGACTGGTCTATGTGAGAATTGTGGAGAAAAAGAAACAGTGGAGCATGTGATATATGAGTGTAAAAGGTATGATGAAGAAAGAAAGGTATTAATATAATATTTAAACAAAAAATGTAAGGTAAATAAGGATTTTTAATATTTGTTAGGACACGATTTTAATAGAGATTGAGTAGTATATAGGATATTAATAAAATACATACAGTATATACAGTCATGGCCAAAAATATCGGCACCCTTGGTAAATATGATCAAAGTAGGCTGTGAAAATTAATCTGCATTGTTAATCCTTTTGATCTTTTATAAAAAAAAGTCACAAAAATATAACCTTTCATTGGATAATAAGAATTTAAAATGGGGGGAAATATCATTATGAAATAAATGTTTTTTTCTCAAATACACACTGGCCACAATTAACGGCACCCTTCTATTCAATACTTTTTGAAACCTCCATTTGGCATAATAACAGCTCTTAATTTTTTTCCTGTAATGCCTGATGAGATTGGAGAGCACTTGACAAGAGATCAGAGACCATTCCTTCATCCAGAATTTCTCCAGACCCTTCAGATTCCCAGCTTCTTCTCTTCAGTTCACCACACTCATTTTCTAGGGTTCAGCTCAGAGGACTGGAATGGCCAGAGCAGAAGCTTGGTTTTGTGCTCAGTGACCCATTTTTGTGTTGTTTTTAAGATTTGTGTTTGGATTATTGTCCGGTTGGAAGATCCAAACATGGCCCATTATAAGATTTCTAACAGAGTCAGTCAATTATTGATTTTGTATCTGTTGGTATTTGATAGAATCAAAGATGCCATGTGTCTAAACAAGATGTCCAGGACCTCCAGCAGAAATATAGGCCCACAACATTAAAAATAAAGCAGTCTATTTCATTGTACACATGGGGTACTTTTTATCCCTGTGTGCACCAAACCCATCTTGAGTGTTTGTTGCTAAAAAGCTAATTCTTTAGTTTCATCTGAGCATAGAAGCCAGTCCCATTTGAAGTTCCAGTCGTGTCTGATAACTGAAAATGCTGGGGTTTGTTTTTGGATGAGCTAGGAGAATTTTTCTTGAAACCCACCAAACAACATGTGGTGGTGTAGGTGCTGTTTGATTGATTGATTTATTTTAAGGTTTTCTGACCCAGAGACTCAACTATTTTCTGCAGTTCTCCAGCTGTAGTCCTCAGAGAGTCTTTAGCCACTCAAACTCTCCTCATCAGCGGGCATTAGGACGTTATAGACACACGTCCTCTTCCAGGCAGATTCGTAACATTTTCTGTTGATTGGAAATTCGTAATTATTGCACTGATGGTGGAAATGGGGATTTTCACTGCTCTAGCTCTTTTCTTAAAGCCACTTCACTAATTTGTGAAGCTCAATTATCTTTTGCTGCACATCAGAAATATATTCTTTGGTTTTTCTCATTGTGATGGACAATTAAAGGGGTCCTATTATGCTCTTTTACAAAGTCTTGATTTTGTTTTGGGTGTGTACTAGAACAGGCTCTCATACTAGGTTGTTCGAAAAACATATTTTACATTATTACAACACCTCTCTCCCCAGTCTGGCATGAACGGCTCGAATAGTTCCTGTATCAAATGAAGGCTGCCTTCTGAAATACGAAATGTGCTGTGATTGGTCAGCTGGGCCGGTGTGTGCTGTGATTAGTTAGCTGGGCCAGTGTGTGCTGTGATTGGTCAGCTGGGCCAGTGTGTTCTGTGATTGGTT